ACCATCACAACACGACCGGGACACCATCAAAACATGACCGGGACACCGTCACAACATGAGCGAGACACCATCACAACATGACTGGAACACCGTCACAACATGACTGGGACACAATCACAACATGACCGGGACACCATCACAAGGTGACCGGGACACCAACATGACATGACGGGAAAACCATCACAAGATGACCAGGACACCATCACAACATGACCGGGACACCGTCACATGACCCAGACACCATCAAAACATAACCGGGACACCATCAAAACACGACCGGGACACCATCAAAACATGACCGGGACACCATCAAAACAGGACCGGGACACCGTCACAACACGACCGGGACACCATCAAAACATGACCGGGACACCATCACAACATGGCCGGGACACCATCAAAACATGACCGGGACACCATCACAACATGACCGGGACACCATCAAAACATGACCGGGACACCATCAAAACACGACCGGGACACCATCACAACATGACCGGGACACCATCAAAACACGACCGGGACACCATCAAAACATGACCGGGACACCATCAAAACAGGACCGGGACACCATCACAACATGACTGGGACACAATCAATACATGATCGGGACACCATCACAACATGACCGCGCCACCATCACATGATCGGGACACCATCAAAACATGACCGGGACACCGTCACAACACGACCGGGACACCATCACAACATGACCGGGACACCATCACAACATGACCGGGACACCATCACAACATGACCGGGACACCATCACAACATGACCGGGACACCTTCAAAACATGACCGGGACACCATCAAAACAGGACCGGGACACCATCACAACATGACCGGGACACCGTCACAACATGATTGGGACACCATCACAACATAACCGGGACACCATCACAAGGTGACCGGGACACCAGCATGACATGACGGGGACACCATCACAACATGACCGGGACACTATCACAACAAGTCCGGGACACCGTCACATGACCCGGACACCATCAAAACATAACCGGCACACCGCCAAAACATGACCAGGACACCATCACAACACGACCGGGACACCATCAAAACATGACCGGGACACCTTCAAAACATGACCGGGACACCATCACAACATGACCGGGACACCATCACAACATGACCGGACACCATCACAACATGACCGGGACACCTTCAAAACATGACCGGGA